TCAGTCCTTGTTGTACCCATTAATGCGCAAGGCAGGGACCAACAAGTACCATATTTTAACGCTTTGGTATGACGCGGGTCGAGGATCCGCCTCCACCGACATCGATACTCGGGCGGACGCTCTGGTAACCACAACACCACGGAGGCGGTCCCCATATAACTACTGCCTGACCAAGCTTGAGCTGGGTACCCATTCAACTAATACCTGATCACATCTGACCTGGGTACCATCCAACTAATACCTGATCACATCCGACCTGGGTACCCATCCAACTAATACCATCACATCCAACCTGGGTACCCATCCAGATACCTGATATCATCTGATACCTGTACCCATCCCACCTCATCTGACATGGGTATCCATCTATCAATCCTGATCATATCTGACCTGGGTACCCATCCAAGTAATACCTGATCACATCTGACCTGGGTACCCATCCAACTAATACCTGATCACATCTGACCTGGGTACCCATCCAACTAATACCTGATCATATCTGACCTGGGTACCCATCCAACTAATACCTGATCACATCTGACCTGGGTACCCATCCAACTAATACCTGATCACATCCAACCTGGGTACCCATCCAACTAATACCTGATCACATCTGACCTGGGTACCCATCCAACTACATCCTGATCATATCTGACCTGGGTACCCATCCAGCTAATACCTGATCACATCTGACCTGGGTACCCATCCAGCTATACCTGATCACATCTGACCTGGGTACCCATCCAACTAATACCTGATCACATCTGACCTGGGTACCCATCCAACTAATACCTGATCACATCCTGGCCTGGGTACCCATCCAACTAATACCTGATCATATCTGACCCTGGGTACCCATCCAACTACATGTCTGTATCACATCGAGCCAGGTACCCCATCCAACTAATACCTGATCCTTATCTGACCTGGGTTCCCATCCAAGTAATACCTGATAACATCGAGAAGCAGGCGACGGCTGTTCTGCACTGCATGTATGTATCTGGCCTATGGTACCCGGCATCAACTAATACCGATCACATCTGACCTGGTACCCATCCAGCAATACCGTATGCATCCGACGCCTGGTCAATCCAACTAATACGCGCCTGATCACATCTGACAGGTACCAATCCAACTAATACCTGATAACATCCAACAGGTACCCATCCAAGTAATATAATATCTGCCTGGGTGACACATCTGACCTGGGGGTATACCTGATCACATCTGACCTGGGTGCCATCCAACTAATACCTGATCATCTGACCTGGGTACCCATCCATGCTACCTAATCGAGCCTGGGTACCCATCCAACTAATACCCTGATCATCTGACCTGGGTACCCATCCAAGTAATAATGTTCCTGACGATAACGACATCAACCTGGGTATCCATCCAACTGCGATACGATCACATCTGACCTGGGTACCCCATCCCTAAAACCTGATCATACTGACCTACCTGGGTACCAAAATACCTGATAAGGATCGAACCAGCTAATACCTGATGGCGGTGTACCCATAACTAATACCTGATCAACATCTGGCCTGGGTACCCCATCCAACTAATAACTATCTGACCTGGGTACCCATCCAACTAATACCTGATCAAGCATCTGACCTGGGTGCCCATCCAACTAATACCTGATAACATCTGACCTGGGTACCCATACTAATACCTGATCACATCTGACCTGGGTACCCATCCAACTAATACCTGATCACATCTGACCTGGGTACCCATCCAACTAATACCTGATCACATCCGACCTGGGTACCCATCCAACTAATACCTGATCACATCTGACCTGGGTACCCATCCAACTAATACCTGATCACATCTGACCTGGGTACCCATCCAACTAATACCTGATCACATCTGACCTGGGTACCCATCCAACTAATACCTGATCACATCGACCTGGGTACCCATCCAATAAACCTGATACATCTGACCTGGGTACCCATCCAACTAATATCTGATCACATCTGACCTGGGTACCCATCCAAGTAATACCTGATCACATCTGGCCTGGGTACCCATCCAACTAATACCTGATCATATCTGACCTGGGTACCCATCCAACTAATACCTGATCACATCTGACCTGGGTACCCATCCAACTAATACCTGATAACATCTGACCTGGGTACCCATCCAACTAATACCTGATCATATCTGACCTGGGTACCCATCCAACTAATACCTGATCACATCTGACCTGGGTACCCATCCAACTAATACCTGATCACATCTGACCTGGGTACCCATCCAACTAATACCTGATCACATCTGACCTGGGTACCCATCCAACTAATACCTGATAACATCTGACCTGGGTACCCATCCAACTAATACCTGATCACATCTGGCCTGGGTACCCATCCAACTAATACCTGATCACATCTGACCTGGGTACCCATCCAACTAATACCTGATCATATCCGACCTGGGTACCCATCCAACTAATACCTGATCACATCTGACCTGGGTACCCATCCAACTAATACCTGATCATATCTGACCTGGGTACCCATCCAACTAATACCTGATCACATCTGACCTGGGTACCCATCCAACTAATACCTGATCACATCTGACCTGGGTACCCATCCAACTAATACCTGATCACATCTGACCTGGGTACCCATCCAACTAATACCTGATCACATCTGACCTGGGTACCCATCCAACTAATACCTGATAACATCTGACCTGGGTACCCATCCAACTAATACCTGATCACATCTGACCTGGGTACCCATCCAACTAATACCTGATCACATCTGACCTGGGTACCCATCCAACTAATACCTGATCACATCTGACCTGGGTACCATCCAACTAATACCTGATCACATCTGACCTGGGTACCCATCCAACTAATACCTGATCACATCTGACCTGGGTACCCATCCAACTAATACCTGATCACATCTGACCTGGGTACCCATCCAACTAATACCTGATCACATCTGACCTGGGTACCCATCCAACTAATACCTGATCATATCTGACCTGGGTACCCATCCAACTAATACCTGATCACATCTGACCTGGGTACCCATCCAACTAATACCTGATCACATCTGACCTGGGTACCCATCCAACTAATACCTGATCACATCTGACCTGGGTACCCATCCAACTATGTCCTGATCATATCTGACCTGGGTACCCATCCAACTAACACCTGATCATATCTGACCTGGTTACCCATCCAACTACATTCTGATTACATCTGACCTCAGCACCCATCCAACTATGTCCTGATCACATCTGACCTGGGTCATCCAACTAATACCTGATCACAGTGACCTGGGTACCCATCCAACTACATTCCTGATCGACCTTGGTACCCATCCAACTAATACCTGATCACATCCGACCTGGGTACCTATCCAACTATGTCCTGATCATATCTGACCTGGGTACCCATCCAACTAATACCTGATCACATCCGACCTGGTACCCATCCAACTAACACCTGATCACATCCGACCTGGGTACCCATCCAACTAACACCTGATCATATCTGACCTGGGTACCCATCCAACTACATTCTGATCACATCCGACCTCAGTACCCATCCAACTACATTCTGATCACATCTGATCTGGATGCCTATCCAATTATTTGATCACATATGACTATACTAGGGGATCCATCTCAGAACTGCCTAATGAATCTACTAGACATGATTCATGACCTACATCACTTATAATACCACCTACTACACAGTCACCTTTACAAATATCAGAAAAAAGCAATTTCCTGTACATAATCCATCTCTGTGTGTTAAATGTTATCTCTTCATAATTACCACTCCATTATGAAACTTTATAAGGTTGATACAGAAGCCCAATACAAATGTTAACGAAGTCCCTAGAATTCCTGACCATTAATAGTGCCACAGTGGAACTTCCATACCACCCCTTCATTGTCCACTGCCACACCCATGTGCTACTGCCACACCCACACCCAACTGTTCAGACGTTACAGTGCCCCTTTAAAACAACCTCTCTTTTCACTGACTTCAAACAGCCCTACTTCAAAGAACTCTTAAACAAGAATATTTAGTGCATAACAAATTGATAACCTAATTCCTATAGAAATCTCAAAGGTTTAAATTACTCGATCGAGGATCAATTCAGAATGGTACTGCTCTCAGGTATATCCTGGGAGAAAAACACTTCATTAACATTCCTTGGTTAATCTTTCCGTGGGGTCAAATTAGATTTCACACCTAAGTCCAAGAGTCTCTGATAAGTCATGAAAACAAACACTGGTATCTGGGCTCCCTCCACCTACAATAGGACGGGGCGGCATGAGTGTTCGTCGCCGTGGCCTGCGGTACAGAGGCGGCAGTTCTGATTATGTCTCTGTAGCCATGTAACGCTATATAACCCAATCAGATGTTGGTCAAGGTTGATGTGAATCGATACAATGTAATAACAACATGGCAGTGCTGGTCAAGTAGGCTCTGTGCCTGGTAACTGTATGTAATTAGGAGTTGGTTCTGAGTTGCGTTAATTGGATGACAAATAATGTTTTTCTTGGACAAGGATTTTTCATTGCTTGTTGAGTTGCTAGGTGAATTAAGCCACACAATGTTGAGTGAGTGAGTGAGTGAGTTTGATTTTACCCATGTGGGGAATCGACACAATGTTGAGGATCCATATCATAGTGACATGTTGGGTAGCACTCTAGGTGGCGTGTGTGCCTGTCACACATATTCATTATTAGGAAAACAGAAGTATATGAGTGAGTGAGTTGGGTTTAATACCGTTTGAATAATATTTCTGTCACATCATAGTGTGGCGTCTTGCTGTGGGAGGACAGTCAAAAGTGACATTTACCATTTTGGTTAAAGCCATGATGCTGACAAACCCAGAGACAATTACCATAAACCTGGAATTGGAACATAAACTTGTGACAGTTCGTAGTGAATTGCAATATCCTTGAAAATGTCTCCATGCAAAGAAAGCTGTGTCACTGACCTGTAGAGACGTGGTGGCTTGGCAGTTGGTATCTTCATGCTGTCCATACGTCAGTGCGCGGTAGTTCCTGTAGCTCCGGTACGTGTTGCTGTACACCCCATTTTGTAGCGACGAGCTTGCCGGACACATTTCTTTGCTCGGGACCTGGCGGCCATACTGGGCAAACTGTATACTGATGATGGTCTTCTGTGGACACTTGACCGTCATCGACTCTCCGTCACATGCATGTTGGTGGAAAGTGTCTAACGTGCTTGACAAAGAACCTGCAAGAACATGATCATATGTTACATCTCAGAAAAGCAAAAAAACTTTCAGAACTTTTGCTTCATCATTTCTGTTACTCTTCCTGCATCTAATAGGAAGGAAGATCCGTTGATATGCAACTTGTTTATTTCGAAACCAAAATGTTGCTTTTGTAGTTATGTAGAAGTTCTATGTCCATGAAGTATCTGACTTGCTCACCAAACCAAACTTGCAATGCCACTTGATGAAAGTCTCATGTATCTATTCATATTGAATAACCTCCAAATATGTTTTATATTAAATGACACTGGAAATTAGTTCAGGATAGCCAATCTTGACACCATTCCAGCCATCACAGATCAGGATAGCCAACCTTGACACCATTCCAACCATCACAGATCAGGATAGCCAACCTTGACACCATTCCAACCATCACAGATCAGGATAGCCAACCTTGACACCATTCCAACCATCACAGATCAGGATAGCCAACCTTGACACCATTCCAACCATCACAGATCAGGATAGCCAACCTTGACACCATTCCTACCATCACAGATCAGGATAGCCAACCATGACACCATTCCAACCATCAGAGATCAGGATAGCCAACCTTGACACCATTCCAGCCATCACAGATCAGGATAGCCAACCTTGACACCATTCCAGCCATCACAAATCAGGATAGCCAACCTTGACACCATTCCAACCATCCCAAATCAAGCTAGCCAACCTTGACACCATTCCAACCATCCCAAATCAGGATAGCCAACCTTGAAACCATTCCAACCATCACAAATCAGGATAGCCAACCTTGACACCATTCCAACCATCACAAATCAGGATAGCCAACCTTGACACCATTCCAACCATCACAAATCAGGATAGCCAACCTTGACACCATTCCAACAATCGATAGCCAAATTTGGCATCATACCAACAATCAGAAATCAGGACAGCCACTGTGTCCTTGCAGCTGTTGATGTGTCAAAGAGTCTCTATCCAATGTGTCCTTGCAGCTGTTGATGTGTCAAAGAGTCTCTATCCACATTAATATCTACAAAGTGTTCCACAACGGCCATCAGTGTCAGTGAACCTCAGACCACATGTAACCCCATCAGTGTGTCATCCTCTGACCACAGCAATACGCATCTCTCTAAGTGTAACATGAAGGGAGCACTACTGCCTGTAAGATTTAACACAAAAACAACTGTATGTCAATATGAAATAAAGTTATGGAAGGCTGACAATAAATAATCAATGACAGAGACCCTGTGAGAGGCCATTCAGGGACTAAACTACTCCAACAGAAATGGTGAACCCTGAGCTGATGGTGTTTACTTGCTTGGATCCTAAACCTGTCTGAAACAGCTGTGTAATTGTCCCTCAGAACAAGTGGGGTGAAATACAACCTCTATTTGCCCTATACCAGCAACAAGTCACTTGTGATTTAGAAACAGCCTGGGTTGTCAGTGATAATGCTGTTACAACTGTTAGTTATGGGACATCAATAGATTCTCATGGCCAACAGATCTCTGGTGGCAGTGTAACAGAATTAAAGACATACTGATCTATGCAAGACTGACTGACTGAGTTTAGTTTTATGCCGCTTTTAGCAATATTCCAGCTATATCACGGTGGGGACACCAGAAATGGGCTTCACATATTGTACCCATCTGGGGAATCAACCCGGGTCTTCGGTGTGAAGAGCGAACGCTTTAACCACTAGGCTACCCCACCGCCCTGATCTATGCAAGAAAGATAGCATGAGTTATAGTAATACATCAGGTCCAATGTGGTGTATAAGTTTTCATATTAACATGCTCCATTATATCTGTTTGATTGGCATTTTAGAAGTTGATGAATAATAAGAAAGGTGAGATAAGTTATGGATGACAACTTCTTTATTATATTATGATGCAACATGTTGGTATAGCTTCTCATACCATTGGTAAGTAAGAGAGCTTGATAATGAAATAAGAACCTATACTGAAACATCTGGATAACACCTATACCTTTCTTATGCTCCATTTTACTAAACACATAACAATCACTAAAGTATTTTTAGTACATTAATCTGTTAAACAATACAATACACATTCAACTGCTGCACCAGCTTCAGTAGGAAATACCTATGTTAAATTATTGGCTCCAGAGGATGTACAACCCTTGTCACTTGTCCTAGAGTACTGTATACAAGCTTGGAAACCATTTCATAGCTTGGGACCCTTAGGAGAGTTCCAGGTATGCCCCTTCAAAAATATTACCCCAGTTAAATACCCTGGCAGAGTGTGTTGTTTCTTGTTTTGAAGAACCACATAAAATAGTTCTGATTCTGGATTTATCTATTTTAGCAGGTTGATACCCCACTTCATGCTGTGAAATTAGTAAGATCTACCCAGTGATAAGGCTGGAAGCAACAGGCAAACATGCAAATGGACAGGTGTAATATCTTTCAACATCAAAGAATCTCAATACTATTTAATATGGAAAAAAAGGAACTGAGTTAAACTTTGAAATATCTCTGTATAAAAGTTAACACTAAAAACCCTGAGCTTACAGTACTGCGCAGCCTATGCCAAGGGCTATCGATTTCGTTATTACAATGAGAGCATAACAAGCCCTACTGATGGCCTATAGACAGCAGTAACACCTTCTCCGACATACAGTACACAATACAGTCATACAACACAATACAGCCTTAATACTCTAAACTTTTTAGTGCTGCATGAGCAGTCATCATAATTGCGTGTTTCTAAATGGAAAGAGCACGCTGTGTCAGTGAAGGGCAGATAACTCTGATACAATCAGTTCCGATACAGTACTTCTTAAAGCCAAACATCAAGTGCGACGTGTAGAAGGAATGTGATATGAAATTGGACTTATTTCAACCTCATTGAGTTTTTTGTGTCAAGGTTGAAAAAAACATAGGTACATGTGACACACGTTGTAAATAACAGACGTAAGTTATTTTTGCTGCAATACAGAGAATATCCTGTGACTTGGGGAACATGAAGTTGTGGGAAAAGACAATGAAAAATGCAGCAGCTTATTTGTTCTGATCACGTGAACTTCTGTGTCACTGATTATATAAACCATACTTTACTCTGTGTGCGTATGTGTGAGAGTAAGAGAGTGAGTGTGTGAGTGGGTTTGTGTGTGACAGAATAAACTAGTTATAATAAACTCAAAGGAACCAGTATGTTTAATTTGTCATAACCATAGTGTTATAACCATAGTTTGTTATAATTGTATTGTGCTATATCTGTAGTCTATTATATCAATAGTGTGTTATAAACACAGTATGCTATATATGTAGGTTGTTATAACCATATTTGTTGTAACAATAGTGTATTATATCTGTTTGTTATAACATTGTGTTATACTCACAAGTTATATATGTAGTTTGTTATAACCATATTTGTCATAAAAATAGTGTTACAACCAGTGTTATATCCATAGTTTGTTATAACCATATTTTGTTAAATCCATATTTTGTTATAACCGTAGTGTGTTATATGCATTTTGATTAAACTGTACAGCATGTGGTCAGGATGGAAAAAAACCCAGTTCGCTATATCCATCAGATTGCTGTAAGTGTGTTTGCTAGAAACATGATTTAGCTGTATATATATACATCAGCATCAGAAATTGATGTAGAATTTAGCAGGCATCAATGAAACAATTAAGTCATAATGAGGATCACATTATCATGATACAGACATTGACCAAACTGCATCCATTAAGGTTGTCTGAACTGAATGTTGTACCTACAACCACATTGTACTGACCAATCAGTGATTGCTACCCACTACCCAATCATAACCTCAGCAAACTGACCAATCAGTGATTGTTACTCACTACCCAATCATAACCTCAGCAAACTGACCAATCAGTGATTGTTACTCACTACCAAATCAGTGCAGTGATCACTACCGACTCACAACCTTAGCAATCAGTACAAACTGACCAATCAGTGATTGCTACCCACTCACAATCACAGTGTACTGACCAATCAGTGCATCACTACCGACTCACAACCTCAGCTAACTGACCAATCAGTGAATGTTATCCAAACAACAACTCACCAATCACAGCAGTTCTGATGGCCCAAGCGTGAAAACTTGCATGCCAGTGAAACATTATCTTGTGGAAGTTAGAGCATGTGTACTTGGTGGACGTTTAGGTGAAATTCAAGCCAGCTTACCAAAACATAAGCAAAGCACCACCTGCACGCCACATGCAATCTGGTCAAAAGGCCATCAGTAAGAAATCTGTGAAACATTTAGCCGATTGTCAACATACTTGTGAAGACTTACAAAGGGATCAAACAAAAAGTACACAATAGAAGTACCATCAATATGCCATCAGAGGTTTTTGTTCCAGGAAAAGTAATTAATTCCTTCAGCAGAAATGTTGCAGCAATAAGAAACAGCCTGAAGAAAAATTGCTTTCATTCATACAAAAATATCAAATAGAGATGTACCATTTCTTACACAGACTCAACTTCACTTCCACAACAAAACCATAAAAGGCGATGTAGTTTAATGTTTATTGACCATCTAAACCAGTTTTGTTCATCAAAAAGACATACATTTAATCATCAATTGTGTATTTATTAAAATACACCTGCAGAACGAAAAAAAAGGAAAAAGAAAACATTAAAATACTTTCATGGGACATCAAAATCTCCTGAATTTGTATGGAGTTTCTTTATATGCCCACATTTCTATATTTGGGATATCTTTTAATCAAATATACTTGGCAGGTTAAAATACAAATAAATATTCAAAATGTTATTAGACAAGGCATTGTGTGGGTTGGTTCATTTTGGATGTGATGATCAATACCATATTTATTTAAACTTCAGAAAATAAATATTCAAAATTTAAACTGACAAGGCATTGTGCGGGTTGGTTCATTCTGGATGTGATGATCAATATTATATGTTTTTAAACTTCAGAAAATAGGTATTTACTACTAACAATTACTGGTTTATGTCTGAACAGTGTCTTGAGTATTGTGTAGGTCTCTGAAAACACATCTGCACATCTTTTTTTTATATTGAGGCTCTGAAGTGGCTAAATGATGAGAAGGAGCAGAAAACCCCATAAAAAAGAATTATCGGGGATGTTTTTGGTTTTACTGGGGTTTTTGGGAGTACAATGTTGATTAGTACACTAAATAGTATGAAAGTGACACCTGCTCCTTGTTGACTTACTGTCTAAAGTTTCACAGTGACAATGGCCGCTACATGTAGTGTATAAATCCAATAACATCCCAGCACCATTTCTGTCAGGGGTGATGTATGTTTTACAGCAACCTGTGGTAGACCAGGTAGATAAAAAATCACAGGTTAACCAGTTTGCACCTGCTGACCCAGCCCACCATGAAGAGAGAAGACATTATGGCTAGTTACTGCCCTAGAAAGGTCAGCTGTGAGTGTGGACTGACTCGAAGTACATGTGGACATATATCCCAAGGATAATATTTGTTTATTGTGGTCACATGTGGGCCATCTCAAAAATATATATGTCTTATTAAATAAGTTTAGTTCTGTTCTAATTACACAAAAGAAAAAGGAATCACTAGGTTTATTTCCTTTTACATATATAAACATAGAAATACATGTAAAAATATTCTGTGTATTTATACATGAAAATCAAAGTTTGAAAATGATGCTATTCCCCCAATGACTATATATCTACAGCCTTGAGTATTGTGTTGGTGTACGGGGAGAAGTGTGTTGGTATATATGGTGATGGGGTACAAGGTCTCTGAAAGCCATCTGCACATTTATTTCCTATGATTGTCATGTGTGATTTACCAATAAGGTCCAGAGGTTCAGCAGGTGTAGACCAACATATCTGCCTGGTCACATGAGAATCGGTTAGCTGTACACAATCTTGACCTGTCCACTACATGAACCCTGTGCCCACAACTGTTCTATGTACACTTACACTCTAGTTACAGGTGGCCCAGTCGGCTAAGATGCTACCATTTGCCGTGCAGAGTTGCATCCCTTTGGTATGCCACAAAGCCGTGGTCATGGGTTCTTGCCCCAGTTCATACTGATGCTTGGTTTGTATGTGCCATACCTTCACTTGTGAGTTTCAGTAAAGTGGTAAAGGTCTAGGATCTGCATCACTGAGGACTTTCCTTCCAGTCCAAACTAAAACATCATCATACATTGAATGCTGTTCTAACCCTAGTTTAGCAGTGACTGTACAGTGGAAGCTGTCAAAACCGGCAGTTGTCCAATCCAGAAGGTTGTCTACACTGGCATAAAATCTCAGTCCCGTCCGTGACTAGTGCATGTATCATCATTTGAAAGCTCTGCAATCTGGCAGCTGTCAATTCCGGATCTCGGCATGAAATGAGCCGCCCGAATATGGGTTTATACTGTAATCGGCGCGTGGCGAGGATTGGGCTGGACGTGTATTGTCACCAATTAATCTTGCGTTGAAACTACAGTGGACTCTGTCAATACCGGCCTCTCTTAACACCGACACTCTGTCTACATCGGCACAAAGTTTCAGTCCCGGCAGAAATGCACGTTATTATCATTTAGAAACTTCTGTAAACATCGGCATCTGTCTATTCAGGATATCGGCATTGTTTTTCAGTCCCAACGAACAAGTTGTTATGAAAACGAATCTGTAAAAACCGGCACATGAAAGACGACGTAACCCTTTGATGCAATTAGGTCCAAATGATGTAACAACACAATTCGCTCTGACTCGAGATTATTCAGAAGCGGGAAGTGTTAATCAGTATCTTGTTAATCAGTGAGTGGTGTACTTAACACTTACCAAGAGTAATTAATACATATAGTGGGCAGTTTGACTGTATAAACAAGCAAGTGTTTACATTTTGTTGATTCAGCGGGTATTGACTCGAGATTATTCAGAAACAGGAAGTGTCAATCAGTTTCTTGTTAATTAGTGAGTGGCGCGTGTCACTTACATAGAGGCGATAAGACCTGCATGCTCTTTGACCTGTAACCAGCTGCGAAGCATAAACAAGAATTGTTGTTTGACGAAAAATGGTTTATAATTTTAATTCTGCCCGATAAATATATGATCAGTTGAGGGTTTTATCAAGATGGTAATGGACCTGTACTTGAGGGTTTTATCAAGATGGTAATGGACCTGTACTTGAGGGTTTTATCAAGATGGTAATGGACCTGTACTTGAGGGTTTTATCAAGATGGTAATGGACCTGCACTTGAGGGTTTTATCAAGATGGTAATGGACCTGTACTTGACTTGATGGTTTTATCAAGATGGTAATGGACCTGTACTTGAGGGTTTTATCAAGATGGTAATGGACCTGTACTTGAGGGTTTTATCAAGATGGTAATGGACCTGCACTTGAGGGTTTTATCAAGATGGTAATGGACCTGTACTTGAGGGTTTTATCAAGATGGTAATGGACCCTGCTTTATCAAGATGGTAATGGACCTGTACTTGAGGGTTTTATCAAGATGGTAATGGACCTGTACTTGAGGGTTTTATCAAGATGGTAATGGACCTGCACTTGAGGGTTTTATCAAGATGGTAATGGACCTGCACTTGAGGGTTTTATCAAGATGGTAATGGACCTGTACTTGAGGGTTTTATCAAGATGGTAATGGACCTGTACTTGAGGGTTTTATCAAGATGGTAATCACCTTGAACTTTCCCCCAACATCAAACTTACATTCAGTGATAGAACTGAAATTCTGTTCAAAGCAGTTAAAAAATTAAATGAAAACAGATAAGAGTGTGGTGTAATACACAGATACAGAAAGATCATATAAAACACTGACACGGAAGAAAATATCCCTCACACCTTTAAAGTCTTAACAATGTGAGAGCCTCTCAGAATTACCAAGTGCACCTCCTTTCCTACCTGTATGTCAACCTAATCATCTACCTGTAATGTCAAAGTTCAACCTGAAGGCCACAGGAGGTCAAGGGTTACTTAGTGTTATCTGTGAGAAGTGCTCTCACTCATGTGTTGACGAGGTTATTGTAAGTTATCATAATTTTTAATCTTTCACAGATAGGTTCTATATATTCACCTGACAAAGGGGCAAGACGTATACTTAAATAGGAGAATAGCAAAGCTGTTATCCATGTAAGTTTCATATCTTTAGATAAGTTGTAAGGGTTTATGAGTGAGTGAGTGAGTGAGTGAGTGAGTAAGGTTTTGTGCTGGTTGTAGCTGTCTTCCAGCAATATCATCATGGCGGGTGACATCAGAAATGGACTTCACACATTATATCCAAGTGGAGAATTGACCCTGGGTCATGGAATGATGGCTGAATGCTTTAACCACTAGGCTACCCCACCGCCACAAGTGTTTATGAGAGTTTTTACAATTTACAATCTCCTTATTATGACGCATCAGCCTAAACATGATGTGAGTTTGAAATTTTATCGATTCTTTTTTCTTTGTTTTCACATATCACTCTAAAAATGCAAGGAATGTAACAACAAATATAAAAGAATGAAAAATTATTACATTGGGTATTGAAATAAAATAAGAAATACCATAAAGAACTTCAACAAGTCTTAAATCTGCGTAAACAAAACATTTTTTAAACGACTAGACAGGTGAAATAAATCTCAAGTACAAAGCCATCTTGAGACAACACTATGCTGGGGCATAGTGAAACTCCTACAGATTTACTTGTTTAGGAGCAGAAATAATTCCAAACTTGTCAGCATAAACCAATCTACCATCTCCAACCCATCAATCAAATACCAGCTGTATGAATCAGATATTGTCTTTTCACAAAAACAGGAGACAGCGTCAAACTTAAGAAGCTTCATGTCTGAACTGCATAATTCCTTAAGTGGCGTTAAGCTGAAAACACACACATTATTTGCAGTACAACAAGCCCGCAACTGTATCTATTACACCTGCCTTTAGGCTTACCAAATATGTTACAAGTTTCTCGAAATAATAAAGAAAGGTTAAACACAGTGTTTATGAGTCAAACACTCTATAATCTTAACACGACAACGGATACAGAAGGAACATGATTCATGGCAGAGTTTGGAAGCAAGCCAGTACATGGCATGTATTAATGACATATTTCCTTGTTGCCTGGTCCAATACAAACGTTTTATTATTTCATTACTTTGCTGGCGCGGTATACGCCTCGTATCAAAGGTCTCCACATTGCACATAATAAATGTATCGTCAGCGGGGATATATTGACATTCCTCATGGCTTTAGCATAGACAAACAACTACTTTATTTTCTGGTATAGAATGTCAAATTGAACTTCACTGATATGTAATGACTTTGGAGAGAGCAGTGTTGGCCGGCTGTCATAGAGGATATATGTCTATATTATGATAATGTGTGTAGAATGTGACATACCGTAAATAATACAAAAACACACATGAAAAATAATTCACTATTAAGATGTGAATATCCCATTTCAACTTAACTGTTTATATCAAACATGCATGGTTTATATTTGGTACTGAATTATGAACATCCCATTTGAACTAAATTGAGTATTAATATATGAGTACATTGTCCATGAGTAGGATATATTTGGTTTTAACATGTTAATATCCAATGTTTGACTGAATTTAATATTGTTCAAGAAATTTAAGGCAGACAGTAGTTTATTTTGTGCTGTCATATGGATATCACATCTAAATTAAATCAAAGATATATTTTGTAGCTGTGATATATATGCTGTTCTGTTAATATTTATGTGCTGTATGCCCTTGTTGTAAAAAAAATTTTAATTTATAACACAGTGAGTGAGTGAGTGACTGAGTTTAGTTTTAAGCCGCTTTTAGCAATATTCCAGCAATATCACGGCGGGGGACACCAGAAATGGGATTCACACATTGTACCTATGAGGGGAATCGAACCCAGTTCTTCAGCGTGACGAGCGAACGCTTTAACTACTAGGCTACCCCACCGCACCCTTTATACCACAGTCTGGTAAGCAATCAAACCTGACAAACCAGTGGTTGATAGTATGAGCATATAGTTATCCATTTTGGGCATGATAACTAGTGGTGGTCCGATTAATTGAAAAAATCGAAGATTGGTCGCAGTGACTAAATGACCAATCAATCAATCATGTTTTCTCATAATCGAACACAAACAATTCTGGAACACTTTTTTCATTAACAATATTTTGCAAAAGGTTGGTTTTGTCTGTTACATTTCATGAGCACTACAAGCTTGTTCCTTGTCATTATTGAATTTATCTTAAAGACCCCAAGGATTTTATCCTCCTAACATATTTGTCATCCTTAAAAGATGTGCAATTTGAAAAAAACCCCAAAGAACTACATGTTTTTTTCTTGATGTTTTGTGCATTAATTTTTTTTATAAATGATACTAACCAATTACTTTCGATGACTGATCGGTTGTAATGAATCAATCATCAATTATGAGATTTTAACCAATTCCCAACACTAATGATAACCACTGGCAATACTATTATCCCTTGAATTCACCCATTCATAGATTTAGATGATGGTATATCTATAGCACCTCAGACATTTTACCATCAGTGCCTCATTAGATAAAACATATTATCTCCCTCCATGTCAGAATGTCGAGATCTCATTGGTTTAAGGATCTTCATAACATGTTAGAGACCATGCCTGGGAGGGAATACACTTCTGAGCCGGAGAGCATAAATCCTTCATGTCTGACATGTAGAAAACAGGCTGCACATGGACTTTTGTGGAACATAATAAATCTCTTGCACCTGCTATGAAGCAAAAAGCCGAAGGTTGTTTATGAGTCTACGAAAGTCATGTGACACATCACAAGGTAACAAAGCTCAATTGAACAGCTGTTTTCTATCAATTTTCAATTTGTTTTAATTTTTATTCATTAAACATCTCGACAAAATGTATTCATTGTTATAGCATCACTCGGGGGTATTTGTGGTTTTATGAATCCCTTTTTTCATAAAACTTCCCTCCATCTCACCCCTGGCCACTTGCCTCCATGTACACAACCCTGGAAAATCAGAACATTTGGACATGATGATCTATAGTGAATAAATACAGTTTTAAATAGTTTTTGTAATATTAAGATTCTTCATTCTATTGAAAAAATCAGCCAATGCTAGAAGGAAATTCAAAGAAGAAAATCTTCCAAGAGCTATGGAAATTTAATAAAAGTATGTAAAAAAATTATTGTACAACCAGGTACCGACACTTATGAAGCTATTAGATTACAGGTGTAAAACCCTTACATGTGATCAACATTACTGGGCCCATGAATCATCCTTATCAGTAGGGATCCCGCTGATAAGTCCACAATACCGATGTCATGTTGGTGGATACAGAAACATACAAAAAACAAGTTTTCTAGAAAGAGACTGAAACAGCCTCTAATTATTGTGTTTCTGAGCATCGCAGTTATGCTTGGTATTTCAATGAGAAAGTTGGTCTGAATTATTTATCAAACATTGAACGTCCCATCAAACATGAAATGAATGTCAGATATGGAGGTTCCATCAAATACAAAAGGATTGTCACTGATGGGAGGTTCATCAAAGACGAGAAGACCTGTCACTGATGGGAGGTTCATCAAAGACAGAAGACCTGTCACTGATGGGAGGTTCATCAAAGACAGAAGACCTGTCACTGATGGGAGGTTCATCAAAGACAGAAGACCTGTCACTGATGGGAGGTTCATCAAAGACAGAAGACCTGTCACTGATGGGAGGTTCATCAAACACAGAAGACCTGTCACTGATGGGAGGTTCATCAAAGACAGAAGACCTGTCACTGATGGGAGGTTCATCAAAGACAGAAGACCTGTCACTGATGGGAGGTTCATCAAAGACAGAAGACCTGTCACTGATGGGAGGTTCATCAAAGACAGAAGACCTGTCACTGATGGGAGGTTCATCAGAAAGACAGAAGACCTGTCACTGATGGGAGGTTCATCAAAGACAGAAGACCTGTCACTGATGGGAGGTTCATCAAACACAGAAGACCTGTCACTGATGGGAGGTTCATCAAAGACAGAAGACCTGTCACTGATGGGAGGTTCATCAAAGACAGAAGACCTGTCACTGATGGGAGGTTCATCAAACCTGTCAGAGAAGGCCTCTCACTGATGAGAGGTTCATCAAAGACAGAAGACTTGTCACTGATGGGAGGTTCATCAAACACAGAAGACCTGTCACTGATGGGAGGTTCATCAAAGACAGAAGACCTGTCACTGATGGGAGGTTCATCAAAGACAGAAGACCTGTCACTGATGGGAGGTTCATCAAAGACAGAAGACCTGTCACTGATGGGAGGTTCATCAAACACAGAAGACCTGTCACTGATGAGAGGTTCATCAAAGACAGAAGACCTGTCACTGATGGGAGGTTCATCAAACACAGAAGACCTGTCACTGATGGGAGGTTCATCAAAGACAGAAGACCTGTCACTGATGGGAGGTTCATCAAAGACAGAAGACCTGTCACTGATGGGAGGTTCATCAAAGAGAGAAGACCTCTCACTGATGAGAGGTTCATCAAAGACAGAAGACTTGTCACTGATGGGAGGTTCATCAAACACAGAAGACCTGTTACTGATGGGAGGTTCATCAAAGACAGAAGACCTGTCACTGATGGGAGGTTCATCAAAGACAGAAGACCTGTCACTGATGGGAGGTTCATCAAAGACAGAAGACCTGTCACTGATGGGAGGTTCATCAAAAAGACAGAAGACCTGTCACTGATGGGAGGTTCATCAAAGACAGAAGACCTGTCACTGATGGGAGGTTCATCAAACACAGAAGACCTGTCACTGATGGGAGGTTCATCACTGATGGGAGGTTCATCAAAGACAGAAGACAGAAGACCTGTCACTGATGGGAGGTTCATCAAACACAGAAGACCTGTCACTGATGGGAGGTTCATCAAACACAGAAGACCTGTCACTGATGGGAGGTTCATCAAAGACAGAAGACCTGTCACTGATGGGAGGTTCATCAAAGACAGAAGACCTGTCACTGATGGGAGGTTCATCAAACACATCAAAGACAGAAGACCTGTCACTGATGGGAGAGAAGACAGAAGTTCACTGATGGGAGGTTCATCACTGAAAGAGAGAAGACCTGTCACTGATGAGAGGTTCATCAAAGGCAGAAGACCTGTCACTGATGGATGGGAGGTTCATCAAAGACAGAAGACCTGTCACTGATGGGAGGTTCATCAAAGACAGAAGACCTGTCACTGATGGGAGGTTCATCAAAGACAGAAGACCTGTCACTGATGGGAGGTTCATCAAAGACAGAAGACCTGTCACTGATGGGAGGTTCATCAAAGACAGAAGACCTGTCACTGATGAGAGGTTCATCAAAGACAGAAGACCTGTCACTGATGAGAGGTTCATCAAAGACAGAAGACCTGTCACTGATGGGAGGTTCATCAAAGGCAGAAGACCTGTCACTGATGGGAGGTTTGTCAAAGATGGTAGACTTGTCAAGGATGGGAGGTTTGTCAAAGATGGTAGACTTGTCAAGGATGGGAGGTTTGTCAAAGAAGGTAGAGCTGTCAAAGATGGGAGACTTGTCAAGGATGGAAAGGCTGTCAAAGATGGGAGACTTGTCAAAGATGGAGGGTCACCAAAGAAGGAAGAGCTGTCAAGGGTGGGAGGTTTGTCAAAGATTGAAGACTTCACAAGATGGGAGGTTTGTCATTATCAAGGATGGGAGGTCTGTCAAAGAAGGAAGACTTGCACCATTTCCTGGGAGAAGTCCCATTTGCTGTCTGGGCTGCATGTAAAGGGGGCCAAGGACCAGAGCTGTTGAGCTTAACCAGCCTGACTGTGCCAGGATCACCTGAACCCTCCCTGCTGCATTATATATTTTAATCTATAAAACATAAAAGGGTTTGTCTGTAATACAGCAATGTCATTATAATCTAACCTTGCACTAAATACCACTGCTTTCATGAATTTCAGATCTCCCAGCTATCCTGGATAGCTACAACCATGTCTGTCATCTCACACATTCAATTAGGCCGAAGATATGTCTCTAAAATGATGACACAGTCCTAAAACCCCACTTAAGACAAATGAGAGCTTGCACCTGCAGAAGCTGCAGCACAGTGTACAGGTGACTGGAATTCTAGCTCTGTGTTATTGCGGACCTATAACGATAACGTCTGACATCACATCATGTCAACATCCAGAGTAGACCTGCTATCCTGTACTTGACTTCATCAAGGGCATTGGGGTAGTCTTGTGGTTAAAGCGTTGACTCATCACGCCAAAGGCCCTGGTTCGATTCCCCACAAGGGTACCCTGTGTGAAGCTCATTTCTGGTGTCCCCTGCCGTGATATTGCGTAATATTGCTAAAAGCATACTCATTCACATTACCTCAACAAATAAATTACAGCCATATATCAAAGCCTTGTGGAGTTATTTCTTGGCTGAATAGAAATTTGTAACCATGCAACAAATATTTTTATCTTTGTTCATTATGCCTGTCATGATTACTATAATTATACACAGAATATTCAATGTATATTTAAGGAACTCATAGGTGTATTTACAACATCTCGTTGCCTAACAAGAAGGTTCATTTTTATTACCCATTTCCTCCATAACTGACCTGAAGATCCTTCAACACCCATGCTATGGTGGTCAGGCGAATAACGGGATCGGGTGGTCAGGCTCGCTGACTTGGTTGACACATGTCATTGGTTCCCAATTGCGTAGATCGATGTTCATGCTGTTGATCACTGGATTGTCTGGTCCAGACTCGATTATTTACTGACCGCCACCATATAGCTGGAATATTGCTGAGTGTGGCGTAACACTGAACTCACTCACTCACTCCTCCATAACTTGGTCACAATGAAGTATATGTGTGCCAGCTCCCTACCATCCTGCCATTCTCCCCCTCTACCAGATCATCACATAATCAACTCCAGGCTTTGCCCCCCTTAAAACCAGGTCAGTCTGAGTGTTAATCAGACTAACTGCTACAATGAAACCCTTGGCTTTATTGTCAAGTTTGGTGACATGCTGATAGCCATGAATGCATGGAGATAGCCATGTCTAGTTAAACTATCAAGAGCCTGCAACCTTGTAATGTAAATGAGTCTCCAAGCCAGGCAATGCCATAGCTTCCCATATCACAGCAAGGAATATTGAACACATGGATATTTGGTAAATCCAGGGCATTAAATAGTAAATCCATGGGATTAGATAAGTTAGTTGGCAGCATGTCTGTAGATAACCCCTGAGCAAGTGCTAGCCGACATGGTGATAAAGACTGCACTCAACCCACAGGGCCATGGGTAGGATTCTCATGTCTTATGGCTCTAACCTTTGTGAAATAATTTCAGAGTTTCTCCCTGCAAAATTGCTTCACTACAAACATAATTTGTGATTATTTTCTGAAATGGCACTAGATCATGGTGATCTTGTCAATGGATATATTTCTCCTCTTTGACAAAATCATTTTCAAACAGATGCGATTGGGTAGCCTTGTGGAAAAAGCGTTTGCTTGTCATGATGAAGATGCAGGTTTGGTTCTCCACAAGAGTACAATGTGTGAAGCCCACATGTGCTGATAATTGCTCAAGTATTGCTCAAAGAGACATAAACCTTGCTCATTATCTCACTCACTCACCCAAACAGGAACAGCTGTCAAGTGTTTCTGGGATTCTGCATGTTCAATGGGCAGGCAACTCTTACCAAATGTTACTAACATGGCTTTATTCTTATTTTCTTATTCTGTATTAGAATTGCTATCTACCTGAAGAAGAAATCTACATGGAAATGTCACAATCCTGAATTCTGCTGGTTTCTGGTTTTATGTTAAACCCTGCCAAGGAAACTTCAGTTGACACTTTCCATTCTGTTCACGTGATCCGCTGAAACACATTTAGGTCTTATTACTTCATTCGCACAGGGGGCGGTGGGGTAGCCTAATGGTTAAAGTGTTGGCTCGTCACGCCGAAGACCGGGTTCGAATCCCCACATGGGTACAATGTGTGAAGCCCATTTCTGGTGTCCCCCGCTGTGATGTTGCTGGAATATTGCTAAAAGCGGCGTAAAACAAAACTCAGTCAGTCAGTCATTCACACAGACAATAACGAGTGATCAAACACAATAGCCATTGTGTCCAACTAATCCCCATCACCTGGCCAGTCTAGCTACCGAAATTCTGTTCTGTTCTGAGTCAGTACATGGTGTTTGTGACACCTACAGTTAAATAACATACACGACAGTGACGACAATCAAGTTCGAGGTGTCATACCCTCCCATATCCTTGTTGAGAAGATCCAACCAGTTGGGGGTCTGCTCATCAAGAGATACTATTGAGGACTGTCCTAACACCCAGTAATCTTATTCTTAACTCGCGAATCAGTGACAGATTTGTGTGTCCATCAGAGTGGACATGTCCGGTGACTCTGTGCCAAGTCAGGCTATTGTCCAAGGTGGAAGATCTGGGTGCTGACAAAGCCCGGCCCTACATGGGGTGTAGTGGAGAAGATCAACACTGACACAGATCAGATCTGACTGGACACTGGCCAGGATTAGCAAGTAAGGAGATACCTAACACTTGTCTCACACATGAACAAGATGGACAATGACTTCTGCTGACCAGACAGGTCAGCTTGATCAATGGATTCCACAAACCAACACTGTGTTGAAGTCTGACCAAACCGTGTATCTACATATACATTAAGGTGAACCATCTCTGACCCTGTTACATCTGACAACACAACTGTAGGTGACTGTCACGATTCTAAAGGTGAACAAGAATATGAACCTTGCTTGACATGAAACTAGTTGATGGTATCTGGACCAAACTAACTGACCGAGGAAGCTCACCATCATTATCGGTTGGAGAGATGGGAGGGGTTGAGTGAATTAGCTGAGTATCCCAGGGTATGTGAGGATGGAGAAATGGAGGGGCAGGTGAGTACACCCTGTATCCCAAGGTATGTTGGGTATAGAGATTGGAGGGATTGAGGTCAGTACACCCTGTATCCTAGGGTATGTTGGGGTGGAGAGATGGGAGGGGCAGGTGAATTAGCTGAGTATCCCAGGGTATGTGAGGGTGGAGAAATAGGTGGGGCAGGTGAGTACAACCTGTATCCCAAGGTATGTTGGGTAGGGAGATAGGCAGGGTTGAGGGTGAGTACACCTGTATCCCAAAGGTATGTTGGGTGGAGGGAGATAAAGGCAGGTGAGTACACCCTGTATCCCAAGGTATGTTGGGTAGGTGGAGATAGGCAGGGTTGAGTGAGTACAACCTGTATCCCAAGGTATGTTGGGTAGGGAGATAGACAGGGTTGAGGTGGGTACAACCTGTATCCCAAGGTATGTTGGGTAGGGAGATAGGCAGGGTTGAGGTGAGTACAACCTGTATCCCAAGGTATGTTGGGTAGGGAGATAGGCAGGGTTGAGGTGAGTACAACCTGTATCCCAAGGTATGTTGGGTAGGGAGATAGGCAGGGTTGAGGTGAGTACACCCTGTATCCCAAGGTATGTTGGGTAGGGAGATAGGCAGGGTTGAGGGTAGTACACCCTGTATCCCAAGGTATGTTGGGACCTGTATCCCAAGGTATGTTGGGTAGGGAGATAGGCAGGGTTGAGGTGAGTACACCCTGTATCCCAAGGTATGTTGGGTAGGGAGATAGGCAGGGTTGAGGTGAGTACACCCTGTATCCCAAGGTATGTTGGGTAGGGAGATAGGCAGGGTTGAGGTGAGTACACCCTGTATCCCAGGGTATGTTGGGGTGGAGAGATGGGAGGGGCAGGTGAATTACCTGAGTATCCCAGGGTATGTGAGGGTGGAGAAATGGGAGGGGCAGGTGAGTACAACCTGTATCCCAAGGTATGTTGGGTAGGGAGATAGGCAGGGTTGAGGTGAGTACACCCTGTAGAGGTGAGTACACCCAGTATCCCAGGGTATGTGGGGATGGAGAGATGGGAGGGGCAAGTGTGAGTGCAATAGGGCACTGTGTACCCCAGGGTATGCAGGGCTATTAGGGCAAATAAACTGAAAAAAGTTCTGCAAGACTAAGAGCAGGAACACAACTGCTACAGCAATTTCTCACAGTGAGGTTCAGCACTCCCGCCAAGGAGAAAATGAATTACCTGATTATTCCCAGG